TACTGCTATGGTACTTCTGTTGCAGTTGTTGCCGCCTCGGTTGGGTCCCTCTTTGCTGTTTCATGACCGTTGCCAGCGGTACCGTTGCTACCCTCGAGACCCTTGTCTGCCCTTCCCTTCCGCTGCTCTGCTGCCACTCCCGCTATGGACCATTGCCGTTGATGCGACTACGAATGCTGCTGCTGCTGCTGCTGCTGCTGCTGCTGCTGCTATTGCTAGTCGTCGCTGGCAATGGGTGAGTCAAGCCATGCATGCAGCGATAGAGATAATATGGGGTCCCTATTTGCGTCGGGTGCGTGTAACGGGAGAGCAGTGAATCGGAACTCGAGTCGCACCAAGGACTGCGACTGTCCAGCTGCTGGCAGACTACTCCGGTTATGAGGCGCGGCCGAACGAATGCTATGGCCGATGTAAAGGCCAAGCAAGGCAGGTTAGGAGGCGCTGAGGCTCCGCGGCAGCGAAGCGCGCTTTGGAAGCTTCGATCTCCGGGTCCGACGGGCTCCCGGTTCTCCGTAGTTCGAAGGCATGGCACGAACACGACACGACACTAGACGCCTCCAGAAGCAAAGGATCGGCATCGCCATTGACTTAGCTCCAAAACGTTTTGCTTTTCGCGCTCGTAGGGCTCGCCTCGTCCGTCGGTTCTTGTGACAGCCTGACAGATACTGGAAGTTTGTAAGACTGTTCGTGGAATTAAACCCGACTGTGGAGTGGTTAAGAATCTCGCAGGTGGTATTGCAGGGTGCTGCCGCTGCCGAGCTGCGAACCCGTGAGGAAGCGCTGCTACAGGCAGTGATTTTCGTGTTCCAGCTTATCCACGTTGAGGAGATGACTGCCGTCATGTCCCTCTTGGACTAATCCGTAGCTGATACTTGACACGGCCCCCGATGCAGATGGCCAACGCCACATCCGAGCCTCATTTCGTGGCTCATTTGGTCTTGTTGCGAGTCGGGCATACTTTGCTATGAGATGCTCCACATACCTCTTGAAGCAGCGTGAGAGAGGCCTTGGGCCGTGAGCTTTGGCCAAGTCTTGCAGATCCGTGTCCTGGTGGCATACTTTGGGGTGAGCGGCTGTTCCCCCTACTGCCACTTTTGTCCTTGGCTATGTTTTTGGAGGCTCCAAGGAAGATTCGCGCGTTTTTTGCATTTTCAGGTCGTAGACAGAGCAGAGCGATGAGTCTCTGATCTGCGCCCCATCATCTGCAGGGCTGTGCCACATTGATCTTTTAAAGATGTTACGGGACAACTCAGCTACCTCTGCAACGTCCCATTGCGCCACAGGTATTTTGACATGGATCAGCAGATGGAGCCGCTTCACTGACTATCGTTGTTGTGGTCGCTAGTCTAGCTGTTTGCTGCTGTTGCTGCGGCTACTGCTGCTCATGCGGTGTTGCTGTTGTTTGTTGTTAGAGCTGTCAGAGTGGGTGTGGCTGCTGTCGCGATGGTCGCTGTCGCTGGTGCCGCTGTTGCTCTTACTCTGTCCCTCTTCGTCGACGTTTGCTCTCGTCGTAACCGTAGCAGTGGCGGGGAGGGTGGTGATGGAGGAGGAGTAGGAGGAGTGATAGTGGTAGTTGCCGTTGTCCTCGTCCTCGCGGTTGTTCCTGCCCGTTGCGCATGACGGCACGCAGGCAGGTTTCAAACGTTAGCGTCGCCTCAGGGAGGCTATAAATCTACCACGGATATCAGGAATCTCTACACATGTTTGCAAGTAAAGGTACCGCACACAACTTCCAGTGATACAGACAAGGCACAATGAGTTCGTCTTTTTGAGTTGTTTGATGTCTGACTGTGTTGCGATGAAGCTGTGCATGGATGACCTATTGGTAGAAGGGTCTTCCCCTCGCGGTTCAACAAACTCGAGAAATGTGACCTCGACGCCATCTTATCGGTGACGGATGAATGAATCTATCTCTTGGGTTCCAGTTCGACGCACTTGTGATTTAGCTCCCATTAGGCCCATTAGTTACACGACTTTTTGATGTAGTCAGCCTGTCTTGTTCCTGTTGCGATGCATCCTGACATGTATGACGGCGTGTGTGCAGTTTAGCTGAGAACAGTGCCATTGAACAGCAAGTGAGCAGACTAGTGATCCAAATGTCGCATTCAAGACTTGACGCATCTGGTCAGCTGCAGTTGCACTTGCGAATTGATGCTGAATACAATTGGTGTCCACCAGCATCTGTGTGGTCTCCGTCCATCCTGCTGTCAGTAGTTCGTACAGTCATGGGTGACGATGGCAAGATGCTGTTTGGCAGCCAAGCAGAGTCTTCTTGGAGTCGGTCTTTGCTGCCTACCAAGTGCGATATTGAAAAGAGCATTCCTTTTCCATTTCTGAGTTGTTTAGAGTTTACACACACATGTCGAGCCGAGGCAGCCAACGATTCATTCCAGCTCAAGCTGGCGGCTGATCTTATGGCGCTCTAGTGAGGCTGGAAAGTCCATCGCCCCTATCTTGTCTTCCAGGTACTCACACGGCTGTTACGATGCTTTCGGAATTTGTGACCTATCCTGTCTTTTCGGCGTCTCTTCTCTGCAGGAGTCCTTGGGACATAGTGACCCGTTGATGAGGGCGTTGGGAGTGGAGCGTTAAACCCTAAGTGAAGGAGTCAAGGCCGCAGCTTCTGCGGTGCAGAGTTCTTCAGGTACTAAGCAGCATCTATCCGAACAAGCTCCTCAGCCTGAAGTGCACGTAAGAGCCGAAGACATACAGCGAAGCCCTCGGTGTAGCAAACCCCATCCTCGTTGTCGGAATCACGATTCTGCTGAACGGATTTTTATCGCTAGCTGTTCACGCAGTGGGCTCCTTATGACCGGGGGGGTGTTGGCCCTTTTTGCAGAATGGCTTTGAGAGCCTGCACTAGGCTCCTTAGCTTTACGCCTCGTGGTGGCAACTGGGACGTGGAGACATGGACGGAGTAGGACCTTAGGACCTTAGGACTCCATGACGGGTTAGGGTGAAGCGCCTTGGCCACATGCAGGGTGAGGGAGCCGATTCCAGACGTTGCTCGAGCTTTGCAAGGCCAATCCATTGTGCAGCTATCGTTCTCGGGGCTCCGATTCTCTTGTGCGATATTGGTTTCAGAGGTGCAACAGTTTTTGGGCCCGACCGCTTTTTGCTCATGCCAAACTGAATGCGACTAGACCCGTGCCCTTGGGCTGGCCAGGCACGGCACCTGCCCGCGTGGAAAGGCACAGGGCTCGGTACTCGAGTGGACGGGCAACCGAGTTGGCCTTCCCAGCCAGGATGGCCAGAACAGGGAGTTATAGGCCGTAGGCTTGTCTGCTCCAGGACAACCAAACTTCGGAATATGAAATACAGCCTCCATTGTGGTTGCAAACGGAAACCTGGTGCGGCCACCAATGCTGGGAGAGCCTGCCTGAAAAGGGGCCTCCCATTCTCTGAGAGCGGACAGAAAGGAGCAGAGTTGCTTCCGAGATTGAAGCCTCAGGCATGTCGGTGGGATCACGAGATTCCGCAGCAGACCATTGGCATCGTCATCAAGGCGCCGATGCAGCTCCGGGCCGACAGTGCTAGGTCGGTTGTGTCTGAGCCGCCGTCATGTGCTGCCGCTGAGCTGTGCTTGGGTGCTTGTCTGCTGTAGCAGCGGTAGCCTGTTGAGGTGACCGCTGCACGATACGCCAAGTGAGAGAGGCTTCATGAAGGGCACATTTTCGGTGCCCAGGCACATGGCACGCGGCTCCGTTGTGTTGAAGAAATTGCATTTACATGGAAGTTGTTTACAACTCCTTTGAGTATGCATTACTCGAATCACCAGACGAACTTGTGTCGGGTGTGCAGACTGGAATTGATTCCTTGCAACTGCAGCGTCAGGAACGGTGGAAACTCGAATACTCCGTTCCCGCAGTTTCGCGTTTACTCGTTCAGGCATCAAGAGGCAGGCTCCACGGAAGTCCAGTTTGAAGCTCGTTGAGTTGGATTTTGCATCTTTCCAGTCCTGGTCCGCCTGCGGTGCCTGACCTTGTAGACTTGAGACTGCAGAGGGGTCCGATCAAGCCCTGAGAAAATCCTCTACGGTTTTCGCCCTCCGAGTGACTTCGACACCTCGATGGACCCTGACGCTAGGTGACAGTGCAGTTGCCTTGTAGATATCCTGGCGTGCTGCAAACGCTCTCTGGTGCTCTTTCGCCCCATTCTGGCAATGCAAGGCATTTGTGCAGCCTCTACAGTTTGTGGGTACTCTGCAAGGGGCTAGTGATGCAACAAGAGCACCAGAGAAGTAGGCCAAGGCGATTGACCGCAAGGAAGCGGTCAGGTAAGGCGCCCCTCGGTACGTCGTGGAGGCAATTCGAGGGAATCGAGGGGTTAGAGATTTTGAAAGCAGAATAAACTGCGTCGCTTAGTCGTCCACATGTTCCGCTTTGGTTTATCAGCCGCCTAGTCGGCCCACCATCGCGAATACCTCCGAGGGACCGCGGCGAGAGGCCTCGCAAATATCATGCAGCGCATGCAAGCTTCAAGGTCTTGGCCTGTGGAGATGGGGAGTCACGGAAGGTTGCCAGCATCCACTCCAACACCCACCCGCTGGCGGCCACGAGCCCTAAGAGGCTCCCCAGCTTGCGGCCAGCCTGTCGACTCAGAAGGGCGTACACTATACTGGTCGCCCTTCTGAGTCGACGTGTTTTTTGTCAAGGCCCCCATGCGAACTTTGCCTCCGCTGAGCCAACCTATCACTGAGGTGGCAAGGTCCGCATGGGAAGGCTTCCCAAAGCCGCCTGCCACAGAAGCCCAACACTTCCCCGGAGGAAACTACGATTAGTGGAGAGGAATCCAAGGAATCTGCCATGCTTCGTGGAAAAGGAAAAGCACTGCAGAGAACGACTTCATAGGCGTTTGCTGGATTCCTCATAACTCTACGACAATGCTCTGCGAGTTCTGTCCGACGACGTCAGTTTCACCGCGCGTCCAAAACAGGATCGGCGGCCGGGCGGCGGTGCCGGCATGCAACTGTGGGGATAGAACACTGTCGCAATGCCGAGGATGCACCAGTGCCTGATGTACAGCGTCCTTACATCGATGAACTTCTTCAAGTACTACATCCACGGCAAGGCAAGGCACCCGAAGCCTCAAAGTATGGCTCTGCCGGATCGTGAGGCTCTCTGTGAAAGTTACGGAGACGAGTGGAATCGACTTTCGATTTGATTGAAACACTTTCGCAGGCTTGCTTGGATAAGGTGTGGGCTGGCTGGTTCGTTTCGACTACCCTGTTTGGCTTAAACGCACTGTTCTGCCTCACGGACTGACATCCAATGATCGAGTTTCCGGGCAGCGCTGTGCAGGTCTTTTCACGGTGGCAGCAGCACACGCGGTTCACGCTGTGACCCACGAGAGGGATGTGGGTTGTTGGAGCATCTGTTGCTTCACTCCTATGCCGATGTTGATTCCGGTCTTGAGCCCCATTGCAAGCCCTGTGGCTACGAGGTACTGCCATGCGAGGAAGAACTTGGTCAGGCCGAAGTGAGCACTGCAAGTGCAAAGAGGTTACTCATCACCTGACCACAGAGGCTTTCAGAACACTTCCGCCGTACATTGATTGACGATGTTGTCTGAAGCGACGTCGAATTTCATGGTCTGCGTGCTGTCCGTCCTAGTGTTTTAATTGGTTTCTGACCAGGCGGTTGTTTTTGGCGAAGCCGCTCTTTGTGGGGCCCCTCATCAAGATTTGCATCCCGGCTGTACATCTTCAGGCTTGAAGGTGGTTTGGCTAACCTGCAAAGTTGTTTGCACATTCGGGACCAGACTGAGGAGCTTGCTCAGTTGCACATCTTCAGGATTGTTGCGGGAACAAAGGACATCTTGTGACTGCGTAGAATCTGACCTGTATCTGCAACAGCCGCGGATGTGTCAGAAAATGCAAGCCGCATACGTGATATCAGCAACATATCAAAGCTGTTGTGTCACTGTCCCCGCTCGTCTGCCAAAGGCTCGCTGATGCGCGAGGCCACTCTTGCTTTCCCCTTCCTAGAGAGATTGCCTTCATTGCTTCGTGTGGGCTGCGGGAAGGGCAGATTTTGAGTGGGGGCCTCTGTTTTCTTCGCAGGTGGAGTCCGTAAAGGTCGTCAACATAGGCCAGTGACCCAGACGGAAATGCAGACCGTGGCCGTTGTTCAGAATGGTAGGTAGCAGGAGTACGGGTCCAGGACGAGTGCGACTTGTTTGTGCTCTCCATTTAGCAGTGTATCGCATTCTGAACATCGTCGGTTTCTTTCTTGCACTGCCTGTCAGACCCTCTATCCATCTGCCCTGCCTCTCTCTCGCCCCTCGCCCGCTGTATTGAGTTCCTTTCTTGTCATAGCGCTTATATTTATAATGAATATATCTGCATGTACAGAGTATGCCTGCCATTTCTGCTGTTGCAGAGGCGAAGTCCAAGTGCCTGTATGTAAAAGCGCATGAGTGCATGGTTGTACGTGCACACAAACATTCTTAGGTCCTTAGGTTCATAGTTTACATGCACTCGCACGCACATTCCTTTCTTTCAACTGTCGTGCCCTGTGCTTGCTTGGCGGGCTGTGCATGTTGTGCCTTCGACTTGTGGTCAGCCATGCACGAGTTCTGGCAATGTGGCTCTGCAGTCCAGGGTACAGTGATGCAGACAGCCCCTTTACCGTGAGGCAGCAACGTGTACAACTTGGCGGACTTTGATCGCGAGCAGGTGCGGCGAGTGCAGCGAAAGGCAGAGAAGTCTCGGCAAGCGAAAGGTTCCGCAGCCAAGAGGGCAGCCGGGCACCCCCTGTCTCCAGGCGACGGTTCGGTCAGCGAGCTGCGCGCAGAAGGCCGGGCCCCGGTCCCAAACCCCACCGCCACCTCTGCTGAGCGTCTGGGATCGAGGGTGCTCCTCAGGAACTCGAGATGCTCCACGATCAGACGGTGGCTGCTATGGACAAGCTGGTGCAGGTTGTAGGTCGGGGCCTCAAGAAATCAGCACGTAGTGAAGCCTGCAGGTGTCCTCTCTGTTTTGATGGTCCAGGATGCAAGCTACATCAGAGCCCCTCCATGCTTCCTGATGTGCCTCGGGAAGAGGGGAGCTTGGAGCATATACCCCACACGCATGCAGCACAGCCCCGGCATCTGAGGGTCCCGCAGGAGGTCCAAGGAGATCAGCCCCATAAACGTATCCGGAGCCACGCTGAGCTAGCAGTGCATTCGTACTTGCTGGGCCAAGTCTTCTTGGGCAATGGAGCGCCCTACTGATCAGCTTATGCTCTCGCCTATTGGGTGTAGAGTGCAGCAGCTTGATTTTGTGTTGCGGGCCATCGAGTTTGCCTTGCAATCCCAAAAAATTCCAGGCGTTAATGTCGCACGTCGTCTACTACCAGCCCGCAGCTCCTGGAAGATGTGAATATGAGAACATAGTCCGCGTTAAGCAATCGATGCGCCATTTCCAGTACCATCGTGTCTAAGTACCTTGCCCCTAAGAGCTGCGAGGCCAGGCGACAGAACCGCAGAGCCACGAGCCGCCGCAGGGGACGATGAGGCCGCCACTTTGCCAGGGTCTTCGAGGAAACTTGGAACCATGGGTTGTATCTTATCGTACAAGATGCCACAGGAGTCAGCGTCAGAGTTCAAGCTTCGTGACTGAGTCTGCGATGTTGGCAGTGGCACTTCGTTGGTCTGAAATGGTTCCATCGTGAGAACTACTCTGCTTGCCAAGGGTGCTGAGCTGCATGTAGCACCCCCCGGAGCTGCCCAGCTGCAGCAACCCATCTTCTGGGGTAGCCAGTTGAGAATCATCTAATTAGAGATGCTCATGAAAGAATGAGCGCGATTCCCACCGTCCCTAGTTGTAACTATCTAGTGGAACCAGAGCCAAAGCGCAATGGGCAAGAAGACATTGCCACTGCTGCAACACTTAATTTGGCTCCCTGTTTCTTCGACCCACCGATGTGGGACTTAGGAGCTTCAGGATCAACCTCAATCTTGTCCGGGGCGGGGTTTGGTACCCTGGATGCGAGGCTATTGAAGGTCGAACCCTACTGTGGGCGCGAAGGATTTGAACTCATGACTATGTCAGTCTGAGCTCTCCTGACGTAGCCTCTCTCTTCCAAGTTGTGCAGGGCTTGGGAAAGAGCAGGAGTCTTTTGCCTGTTCGTTGCTACTCCGTGCCCTGGTGCTGATGGTATCTTGTTTTCGATCCTTTATGCGATGCCTTTGCCCTCTGCTGCGTGGCCTGCTGGCGGTCGTCAAGGTCTCCCACTTCAGATCAAAGATGATACGAATGTTGAAAGTCTGCTTTCCGGGTTGTCAGGCCGCGGATGAAATCCATGGTGCAGGCTCTGGTTTGCTGTGCGTACCATGTGGCAGTTCGCTGCAGCAGCAGCGGCAACGGCGTTAGAGGCAGCCGTGGTAGCAGCACAGTAGAAGAAGTGGTAGCAGCAGTAGTTGTTGTAGCAATAGTAGCAGCAGTAGTCCAAGGAGCAGAAGCAGCAGAAGTAGCAGCAGCAGTAGCAGTAGGAGTAGCAGTAGCAGTAGCAGTAGTAGCAGTCGTAGAAGTAGCAGTAGAAGTCGGCAGTAGTCAGAGTAGCAATTGGTGTCGAGCACTCTATCTTAACTAGCTGACTTGTTCAACTAGGCCTAACTAGGCCCCACGATGGCGAACACAATATGCGATTGAAAGGCTCAGGCAAATGCAAATATGTCGATTTGCACTCACAGCGCACTGAAGACAACATCCTGGCAGTAAGTTGTTGCTACAAGTGGATCATATATTCCAGCTCCTGACTGCAACGCACAAGACAAAGGACCAGTTGAGTTTCAGGGAATGCCACATGGGGAAACAAGAACGCTCCGTGAACGGTCTGTCCACCGCTGCTTCAGGAAACCTAGACCCTAACCGCTACTCCCGCCCACCCCTAAACCCAAAACGTCCAACCCCGAAACCCAAAACCTCTAAATTCGTCCTAAACTTTAGGTGACGAATCCCTGAGCACTAAACCCGACATCCGTCTACCTCACAAACCATAAAACCCCAAGCTCCAACCCTGAGAAATATGCCGTACTGAGTCATTGCCTCGAGTGTCTCTTGCACCTACTCATCGAGCTCACTGGGAAATGCATGGTAGGACCCTCCTGTTCAACAGCTCCTACCGGGGGAAAACACATGGGCAGTTTTCTAAATTAGGGTCCCGCTGAGGGTCCTTATTATAAGGGTGCCGTACTATAATGGGGACCTAAAAAGGAAGCCTAATTTAGAGAACTACCCACATCTATAGAGGCCTTAATCATAGAATAGGGGTTCGGGTATGGAAGAGTATTGTCTTTGTAAGGAGCCCTACGGCACAGTATTGGCAACCATTTTGTCCCCTACATTAAGCCCGTAAGCCACAAACAGCAAAGCAAAGCCGTGAACCCATAACCTGAAACCCTACTGCTGCGGTTTCGGGTTTAGGGTTTAGGGTTCAGGTTTTTGTTTTTTTCGGGCCCTTGTCGTCTGCACGGAGCCGTGATGCAAGCCGGTGATAGAAAGGCTGCGCTTGGAACCACTCCGGCTACTTAAAGGATCATGGGACTTAGTAAGTAGGGTTATAACTAAGGTAACTATACTTATAACCCCAATTAAAGGACTTATAACCTCACTTACTAAGTCCCATGATCCTTTAAGTAAGCGACCGCATGGCCGCCAGTCCGTGTTGGATTGTTCCGATTGAGGCCGCTTGGCGTATGCTGGGGCGACGCTTGGCTTTGGGCCTGGGATTGGGCCCTAAACCCTAAACCCTAAACCCTAAACCCTAAACCCCTAAACCCTAAACCCTAAACCCTAAACCCTAAACTGTTGTTTCTTCAGGCTCGCCACCAACCCCGGATGGTGAAGTGTCTTGTCGTGGTGGCTCCGAGCCATCCTATCCTCCAATGTTGGCTGCTTGGGGCCTTCATAATTGGAATATGGCTTTCGGGGTTTAGGGTTTAGGGTTGAGGGTTGAGGGTTTAGGGTTTGGGGTTTGGGTTTTCGGGGTTCCTTAATATAATTTTTGTATAAGATACCCCAAACCTTCTGCCAAGAAGGATTGGATCCTGTCTGCTGCCTGGCGAGGATCTGCCCCATCCTTTGCCCAGACCTTTGGCGCCGTTGCCATGCCTTCCTCGCCCACGCGAGGACATCGGCCCGGTTCTTTTCGCGCTTCTTTTGCTGCTTAGGCTTTAGGGTTTAGGGTTTAGGATTTTTCTTGGAAACTGCCTCCTGACATGGGCCCGGATTTGTTCAAAGCCGTACGCAAAGGGTGCAAAGGCATTGGGGATGGTTGGGGTAGGAAAGCAACCGCGCCAGGGCTGAGTGAGATGAGAAATGTCCTCAGACTGGCCCTTAAAGGCTATGATTAAACCTTATGATACAGCCCTTAACCCTATGATACAGCCCCAGGCTAGCCCTTAAACCCTATGATAGAGCCAAGAAGGCGCCTTGAACCCTATGATACAGCCCCAGAATAATCCTTGAACCCTCTAATACAACCCCAGAGGCCGAAATCTTCATTTTCCAACGAAGGCCGCGCATACGCTGGAATATGGCGATTTCGTGGCGATGTCGAAATCACCCTATTCCAACGAATCCGGGCCCTAAACCCTAAACCCTAAACCCTCCGTTGGAAATTTTGCGATGCATTCGTTGGCGAAATCGCCAGATTCCAACGAAGGGCCCGGCTTCGTCGGAATATGGCGATTCCCTCGTGGGAATCTGGCGGAACAAAACCCGAACTCGCAATTTCCCAAGGAAGGGAATTAAGGTTTAGATACATAGGATAGAGAGCGTTTGGGGTTTAGGGCTTTTGGGTTTAGGGTTTAGGGGCCTGAAGACCCAAACCAAGCCACTCGCGCCGAACTGGAAGCATGGCGGGCTGGCAGCCGGGCTGTCTCAAAGCACTGAGCACGGTAGCAGTTCCTGTCACGAAGGCACAGGGCTTTCAGGTCTTGGAAACCCTAAACCCTACACCCTCAACCCTAAACCCTAAACCCTAAACCCCAAACCCTAAACCCTAAACCCCGAACCCTAAACCCTAAACTGTCTTGGAGTTTAGGGCTTAAGGCACCCGGCCACAAAACAGATCTCGGACCCAGGAGTTCGGGCCGCGGGCTGGAGGGTTCTGCGGACGTGTGTGGAGTTTTGGGGCGTATTGTTTAAGGTTTAGGGTTTAGGGTTTAGGGTTTGGAGTTTTGGGGAGTATTTGGGGGTCTGGCACCCTAAACCCTAAACCCCTAAACCCTGATATAAACCCTAAACCCTTAACCCTAAACCCTAAACTCCCAAAATCCCCAAAACCCCTAAACCCCAAACCCTAAACCCTAAACCCCCTAAACCCTAAGTTTTTTTGGGGGTTAGGGGTTGGGGATCTTCGAGCTCAGGGCTCTTAGGGTTTAGGGGTTTAGGGGTTTAGGGGTTTAGGGGTTTAGGGTTTAGGGTTTAGGGTTTAGGGTTTAGGGTTTAGGGTTTAGGGTTCAGGGTCATGAGGGCTTCTTATGGCTTCGGGTTATTAAGGTGAGTAGGCTTATGAAAGCGAGGGGGTTTGCATGCTCAGAGGCCTCTTAGAGCTTAGGGGCTTACAGTAGATGACACTTAACAAATGTAGAATTTGCTTTAGGATTTAGGGTTTAAGGGGGTGACAAAAACACGAATACCACTTGCGAAACAAGTATCAGCTGTAAGAAGGAACTAGACCACCAACCACTGTAGCAATATGGACACTACTCGCGGCCAGCCAAATAACACTAAGTTTCCTAAACCCTAAACCCTACATCCTGAACACTGCGAAGCCAATGTCATGTGCAAAAAGAACTGAAGCTAGGAGAATTTATGATGCGCATCGGATCATTATACTAATATATTATTCTTGGCATTATCATTCTTATTGTTATTGTTCTTATTATGACTAGCATTATTGTTGCGATGATGCCTACTATTGCTTCTATTGTAAATCTTGTTACAGCTGTTGTTATTATTGCTGTTGTATGCAAGTGAATCCCACGATAATGAGTCTAGAATTTAAAGGTTTGACAAATCGCATTAACAACAAATGCAAGAAGCAAAGAGATTGTATGCGTGCTAGGACAGAGCGTCATAGCTCCAACAAGGAAGTCCGGTGGCGGCTTGCCAGCAAATAGGTTCATGCGGCGCAAGGAAAGGTAATGTAGCGCCCTTAATCATTAGAATAAGGTTTGGGGGCACATTCTACCACACTTATGACCGGAATCATAGGGAATAGTATAGGCAACGGTGGCTGCCTGTTCTCCTTCTGCAGCATGGAGCAGCAACTTGCACCTGCAAATGTGCAAAACAAGCATCCGGATGTGTACACAGGCCCGGCATCCCGAAGTCGTAAACTCTAAACCCTGAACCGTAAACCCTAAACTAAACCCTGAAACCTAAACCCTAAACCCTAAACCCTAAAACCTAAACCGTGAACGTTTTGAAGACCAGGGCTTCATATAGGAGTTCCGAAACTGAGGTTTTGGATTCCCAAGAATAAGGATCCTTCTATTTCGGGTACTATATTAGGGTCCGCTATTTTCGGAGACCCCATATAGAATGGAGAACCCTCATCCATAAGACCCTTGTTAACACCTTGAAAGCCCAACACACTTCATACGACTAAACCCCAAACCCTAGCACCCTTCGCCTAGATCCCAAACCCTAAACCACTTAACC